GAAGCGTGCATCAATAACAACAGACAACAATATATGATGAAAAAAAGAAAAACGAAAAACATGAAAAAAAATTGTAGAAATTTGTTTTTGTACTTACGATTAGATGCCACCATAACGAAAACGGAAGCTGCAAGAAATGACAAAATCATAATAGGTAATATTTCATTGGAATAAAAGGGAAACTTTCCCTGTTTTGTACGTTTTGTACTGTGTTATTTGACATGCAGCTCGTCATTTTCAAGGATATCGACTAATAGGTCGGAGTGACCTGAACTTTGGCCGTATTTACCAAGGCAGACGAAAAAAGCGTCTTACACTAGTAGTCTTCCTTAAGGAATGATATATAGAGACTGGGAAACAATCAAACTAAAACTCGTTGGAATCTCGGCCCCAGTACGACACGGAAACCGTGCACAAGTAATAATAATAATTATGCAATAAAAGTAGCACAAAGTGGAGTTGAAGTGAGTCTTGTTATTGAATTAATTATTTACCATATTTCGAATTGTTATAAACGATCTTTACATTCCCAAACAAACTCCTGTTTACGCTGTGTTGCACAACTGTGTATAATGTGTGAAGTGCTCGCGGCTCCCAAGCTAGGAGCTTGGGAGATCTGTGACCCGGGAGGGAGGAAATTCCCACATGAAAAGATCGGGGATGCTCGCCGGAAAATTTCAATTAAACCCCTAAAGGAGAACAATCCGGGTGTGGCTCGAGCTTTTCTGAAGGATACCTATAAAATCATTCGCATACACAAATTTTTAACTCTTCAAGACGATTTTATTCCACAACGTTCGGCTAAATTCTTACAAGTAGTTTTTTTGAAACACATAATAAAATAAAAGTAGCGATAAAAAACGACATTTCGATCTCCCTGAGATCATTTTCACATATATAAGTACAAATAAGGGCGTGAGAATGTCCAACGATAAAATATGTAAATACAAGCGCTAAAATGTAAGTTTGGAAATACAGTTAACAATAAAGATTAGCGAAAAAACTGAGCAACGACGTTTCGGTGTCATCCTGGCACCATTTTCAAGTTAAAAAATATTTGTGCGNTGCAGATCAGGCAGTCGAATTTACTTTGGCACTTTCTCAAGATCTTAAAATCACGATATATGTCACTTGGGACTGTTCCATGCTGCTCTTTAATGTGATTTCCGATTAAATACATCAAAAAACACTTCGCATCCGAAAACCACGAGGTTTCTTCTCAGGTTACAACGCAACACGTGTCACGTGATAATCACGAGATCCGGTGACATTACACATGCGTTACATTTCGTGACATACTATACTGCAAGCGTTACATTTCGAGAAATTCTACAATACCACTTAAAACGGAATAGGCTCGTTTATCAGCCGCTGCTCAGGAAAGAGTCCGCGACTTGAGTAATTTATTATTATTATTATCATTATTATTATTATTATCATTATCGTTATCGTTATCGTTATCGTGAACGTCATCAAACAAAAGGTTTAAAGAGGAAAACAATGGCTGTGCACGTACGTTAAAGATCTTTGTAGATTTCTTTGCCGTCCTCTGAACAACGACAATGTGAAATGACTAAGTTCTGCGTATTTTGGAGAACGCGAGAGAAGGCGGCTAATTTTCCGTGTTTTCAATAGGAATTCAACGCTGGCGTTACATATTTAGCTTGCAAGGTCCAAGACCAATAGGCGCACTGAACAGATCTAGACAGTTGCGAAATTCGAAGACAATATATCTATTAATTTTTTTACTAGGCGTTGTACTCGGGGTCGCCATCGTCATTGCTTAAAGGGGCGAGGTCGCGCTATTTTAGGTAATTCTGTTTAAATTTGTTAACTATGAGCTCTAAACGTCAAATTGGCCGAGCAAAAATCTTTCATCTGCAAAATCACAGCCACATAACAACTGAGAATGATTTTTCAGCTGTGTAAATGACATTTTAATATAAACTGATATAAATTTGAAAAATGGTGGGGCCGACGTTTTTCAAATTTACCCAAAAGCAATCCATTTCAATCCTCTCCAGTTTTGTCCATCCATGTCCCTTCATGGCTTTCCTGTATTTTGTTTGAGATCTATAGTTTTGAGCCGTTTTTGTGATATTTTAGTTAATTCTATGACCATTTGATCAGTGCTGAAATTGCCTAAAATTGCGTGACCTAGCCCCTTTAAAGCTCTCTGTTTCTGCTACATTACGGCCACCATATTGGTGCCCTTCCGAGGTACACCAACGTGATGTACCCATAAAAAAAAGCTCTATAAATTTGGATGAAACGTTTCTCTGAATAGAGGCGCGTATGAAAAACCAGTCAGACTGATTCAGATAAATTAATATGCGGTAAGAACCCCTGGTTGTCCAAAAAACGGTTCCTCACTAGGTGTTCTTCTTAGGTCAATGGGTAAGGTGTTCCACAACTGAGATGGGTTAACTGCAAAAGACTTTCCACCTTTCAATTTTCTTTTAGAGCAAGGGCAAATGAAGACTGCTATGTCTAGTTGACCTTAAATCCTTAAACGTCTATCATTATTAAAAACCAGACTACTAGTTAAAAACTCTGAAATGTCAATGTTGATTCTTTTGTATGCCAATGCACACTTACAAACTTTCGTTTCCTCATGAGATGGAATCCAGGAAAGCTGTTTGCTTTCTTCAAACACATTTTCTAGTGTTACGGCACGTTATTAAAAAAGTATATTACTTGCTTATTTTCGTGATTCGCAAAAATGAAATTTTGATATCCGTGATCCGTGATTCGCTATTTTTTCGGTTCGTGAACCGGGCCAGAGACCCGCCCATACGACCCTCAAAAACTGCACAGACCTAAATCTTGGTGGGGTTCTTTATATATCCATCACATGTATCATATGATCCCAGATTCTTGACTTTATTTATCCAGGGATACGATTTTTATTGATGGCAGGACGGTGAAAGGATATTGAAAATCGCAGATTTTGGTCATAAATAGGGTAAGGCATTTGGGATGCGGGCCGCACACCCCAAACAATTCCCAATTTTTCTCGGATAATCCACCCCCAACCNGCAAGAGAAGTCATAACAACATTTGGTTTTAAATACTCTTTTTCTTTGGCCATCGTACCTTGATAAGAAATAACACGCAAACTGCGGTGATAAACATGGCGATAAAACGCATATTAAAAAACAAAGCTCATTTACTTGACGTTTCGTATGTTTCAACATACATCTTCAGAAGTAACAACTAAATTTCAATTTAAAATAAGTAACTAATTAACAATTACAATGACATTATCATTTAGGGTGGGTTTTAATTCCCTTATTAGCAGAGTCTCTTTTATCTTGCAATGTGTGTCTGTCCGACCTTTTGTTAATATATCAAAGTGGTCCCATTTGAAGTTGTGACCAGTTGACGTGACGTAGTCTGCAATAGCAGAAGCGTGACAGCTACTCGTGATCGATTTAAAATGTTCAGTTTTTCTGTCGTGCAATCTAAGTTTTGTTTTTCCAATGTAAAAATCCTGGCAGTCCCAACAACTAGCTTTATACACAGATTTTGACAGTTGGGAAAGGTTGATCCTATCTTTACAGGGAAATAAGGACTTGATGCGATAAGCGCTTTGGAAAATAACCTTAAAATTAATGCAGCCATAAAACGTATTAATGCAGGTCTTCAGTTGTTTGGTAACAATTTTGATTTGTACCCCTAAATAAGGTAGAACTAAGATTATTTCCTTTTTAGGGACTGTGGTGGTTGGATTCTTCGGTTTGCGTTGCTGCCTGTTCAGAACATCATTACTGTTGTAATTGATAACACCCGCAGGGTATCTCTTTTGTAACAACAACTTCCTCAGTTCATTCAAACAAGAGCGCAAAAAAGAAGGTGACGAACAGATGCGGAAACAACGAAAAGTGAGAGTTCGGATGAGGTTTACTTTGTATTTCCTAGGTGTGAAGGAGTCCCATTTTGATTACTTGAATAAAATGAAATTGTTGATCTCAGATGAAACAAAATTTAAGAAGCTTACGCAGAACCCTGAAGTCTAGAGAAGACAGCTTAATATCGTATCTTCGCAAACTGAAGGATAAAATCATTGATGATGCCATCTTCCATAAGATACTACCATGTGGTTCTACCCCTGGTGTCCTCTATAGCCTTCCTAAGGTTCAAAAACTTGGTTGCCCTTTTCGCCCGATTGTTTCCTCAATTAACACTGACAACTACAATTTGGCATCATATCTGGTGCGCAAACTTCAACCCATCTCCACGAATGAATTCACGATCAAGGACTCTTTTAGTTTTGCGGACTGGGCCAAGACGTATAACCATAACAATGAAATGATGTGCTCGTTTGACGTTAGTTCATTGTTTACAAACGTTCCACTTGATGAGACAATACAAATTTGTCTTGACAAATTGTATGCCCCACCAACACTGCCCCGCTCAGTCTCGAAAGTTCTGTTGGAGTTTGCCACAAAGAAGAGTCATTTCATATTTGATGGCCAATACTATGACCAAATTGATGGTGTGGCTATGGGCCATTCTCCTTTAGGTCCTGTCAGTTGGCCAATATCTTTATGTGCCATTTTGAAGAAAAATGGGTTCGTAATAACAACGCTCGCCCTTCCATTTGGTTTCGATACGTTGACGATACTTTCACC